ACTTATACAAAGTGAGAGAAGAATTCTGTGGGAACTTAACCACACCCAAAACAACACACATTAAACTGTAAAATGGAATGGCATATGCAACAAATTATATGTGGCATGTCAACAACGAGGCAAAGCAAAGGCAACTATATAGCTACACCCAGAATAACTTTTTTCCAGGGAAAAAGAAGAGCTGTCATGGGTGGGATTGCGGTAGCTACATACCAAAGTAGTCTTTGAGGACGAGGAGAGAGAGGATGTAGACCACGACTGAGAGTAGCTCGGCGAGGAGCATGAGGCCGTGCCAGGAGCGGATGGTGAGGGCCACCAGGAGGAGCTCATGTAGGATGGGGGATCGGTAAGGGTGATGACCACCACGTGGACAAACTTACCCTCAAACACGAGGAAAAGCATGATGACTCCACTCTGGTACAGGGAGAGGAGGACCCACAGTAAAAAGGTCTTGAGTGACTGAGAGTGGCCCTATATACACAGGGAGAGAGGGGCAGAGGAATAAACGGATATTAGCCTCGTTCCCAGGCCTTCTCTCTCGCGGTCCTAGCCTTAGTCCTAGCCCAGCAAGGTAGAACGCAGCACAAAACACAGCCTGTGAAGTGAAAAGAAATAAACAACAGTATGCAGTGGAATCTCCAAGTAATGGAGACGTTGGGACGTAAGTGCTAAATTTAGAAATGTTAAACAGTAGGGTCCAGTGAAGGAATTCCTTTTCTAAACTTAGCCCTTATATACCACCATATTCACTTTAACAGGACCAGTTCTATCTTACACCAGTTTGGGCCATAGTGTGTAAGTATCTCTGTTCTCTGATTTTTTTTATTCAGCACATGAGTAGTATATAAACGCAAAGACTCCAGACGTCCAGCATTGTTTAGTCCAGCTGAGCGCAAGATTTTCATTGTGTTTCTATATTATTACCTCTTTGCGGTAGCACTGAACCTGACCACCTTTTCACTTTACGTCAGGGACATCGCTTACAACTTCACTGCACTAGCTGACTACTTCAGTTGCCAGCGATCAGGTCTTAACAATAATTGTTATACCCTTGGTAAAAAGAAATATCCTTTCATTGTCATATTCTTGTTCCCAGTTGCTAACCTTTACTTTTCTTTGAAATTGGACGACTTTAAAGTGCTGTTTAAATTTTGCTTTGTCGTTTTGTAAGACATGCTCCCCAAAGCCCAGCAGCAAAAGTTGAACCAAACCGTGTTTTGTATAAAGTAGCTGTTGTTGTAACACTACTTCCGTACTCTCGTGATGGAGCAGCACACACGTGTGAACGTATAAATGCTCTAAGCAGTGCTTGATGAAAATTAAAAGGCTACAATAAACCTGATTACGAATGCAAACTGAGGATATATTACAATAAAATTATAGTGATACCCTTTAAACCCGTAGCATCTGCAAACAGATCTGCTGAGTGCGCAACTCTGTATCGCCGACTCGTCGCGCCTGGCGCCTGGAGCTTTTCCTTGAATGCGGTGGTAAGGATAATTCAAAATGCATAGAAGAGCAGTTGGTGTGTTTAACAAAATAGCAAGTTTTACACTTGTAGTCTTGTGTGTTGTCTTCTTGCATTATGCTGGTAGCACATGTGACGTGCACTCATATGTCACATGAACAACACTGCACCCATTCCTCATACTGTTGTGTTATATCATCATTTTGTTTAAAAGAAACACCACAGCATGTTGTTCATGACTAACGAGATGCCTGCTTTTTAGTCGCTTCAGTTTGTGAGGGTAGCTATATCTACTCACTGACTGACTAGAGATCTTACTTTACTTTTTTGTTTTGAAGAAGCGTGGTCGTTTTTCAGAATTTTGGTTTGGGGCAATTATTCATTTCATTGATAAAATGGTCGTAACTTGACTTTTCTCTAGTGCTTTTATTGCCATTATTGCGGATGTGAGGTGTTTTGTTTTCTGTATGCACATCATTTTGTTTAAAAGAAACACCACAGCATGTTGTTCATGACTAACGAGATGCCTGCTTTTTAGTCGCTTCAGTTTGTGAGGGTAGCTATATCTACTCACTGACTGACTAGAGATCTTACTTTACTTTTTTGTTTTGAAGAAGCGTGGTCGTTTTTCAGAATTTTGGTTTGGGGCAATTATTCGTTTCATTGATAAAATGGTCGTAACTTGACTTTTCTCTAGTGCTTTTATTGCCATTATTGCGGATGTGAGGTGTTTTGATGCAACACTTAATGTGTCAATACTTTACCAGTTTCTTGCAAAAAACACTTAATATGTTCAGCTTAATTGATGAAGCACTTGATGTAGTTCACAGTCGTTAACACCATCCACCAGTATGCTTGAGAAATACTCCAACTTCGTAGTATTTTGATCCTTTTTTTTGCTGTTTACACATTTTTGCCTGTTACCATTTTCACATGTTTACACACGGTTGCATGGAGTAGAGAGTCCATGCACGTACAAGAATACAAGTGTATGCACACCATACAAGTTGAACAGCATAGCCTGCAATTGCATGTCTTGTTAATTACATAATTCACAGAAGGGTTAGTTTCACTGGAGGGAACAATCCATATATTGCCATCTCTTTCAGTTTTGTTATCTATTGGGAGCGTTAATTTGTTGCTGACATATGGCGCTTGTTTATTTCAGATACTCTGTGAGTAGCTATAGACTGTCCCTACTCGACTTATAGCTAGTCTGTTTCCGTCTGGCATGGAATTCGGCTGCATATTATAGAGTCGTCGTCGGTTCTCCGGCTCGAACCGTCGCGTCCTTGCGGAGTCGTATGATTCTCGCGCATCGGCGGCGACTGGTTCTGGAAAGCGGTTTGTGCACGTCGTCCAACTAGTCGATGGCCAACCACGGCGTTGGTCGGCGGTCCAGCCGTTCAGAGTGGCGACATTCTCGGATTGGCCTAGGTGTCGAAGGAGACTTCGCCCGAGTAAACTTCAGGATCACGAGTGGGCGTTCGGCCATCCTGCCGACTACGCTAAGGGGGCGGATCCAGCATTTGAAGAAGGACGGGGTCAGCTAGGGGGGTTCTGGAGGCATGTCCCCCAGAAATATTTTTGATTTCGAGGATTTTAATTCTCAGTCAATATCTCGACAATGAAAAACATCAAAATCATGAGATGATTAGCTAAACATTTAATGAAAAGCACTGAAGTGCAAACCCTCGGCGCATTGTGACGCGCACGCGTAAGTAAACGCATGCGCTGCATCACTAATTGGTGGGCTGGGTTTAGTTCTGGTCCTGGTCTCTAGCCATCTCGCGCAGAGTCTGACGCGGGCTAACTACACAACTAGACAGCATGCGAGAGGCGATACACGCCCTGCGTGGTGCCTCCGAGGTCGCGGATCGATCAGACCGCGGTAAGCCATCCCGTTCGTTGCGTATTTGCATATTGGCTTTTTCGTGCCCTAGCTTTGCAACAGAGCATTTTCAGAGAAGTAGATGGTATCGTTTCTGGGACGAACAGACGTTCCAGGAGCGAGATATAGAGTAACAGACAAACAGACAAACAGACCGACAAACCCTATGAAGTGCAAACCCTCGGCGCACTGTGACGCGAACGCGTTAGTAAACGCATGCGCAGTACCACTAATTGATGGCTGGGTTTAGTTTTAGCTGTTACCCGTGGTCTCTTGCCAGCTCGCGCAGAGTCTGACGCGGGCTAACTACACTACTAGATAGCATGCGAGAGGCGATACACGCCCGGCGTTGCATCTTCTGGTGCCTCCGAAATACGCAGAGTACGCGGATCGATCCGACTGTGCCCGTCCGTTGGTATTTGCATATTGGCTTTTTCGCGCTCTAGCTTTGCAACGGAGCGTTTTCAGAGAAAACCGCCTTTATTTTCTGACCTTCGTCGCCCGTTGGGTAGATGGTATCCTTTCTGGGACGAACAGACGTTCGAGAAGTGAGATTGAGAGTAACAGACACACAGACAAACCCAATGAAAAGCACTAAAGTGCAAACCCTCGGCGAAGTAGCTCGCAGAGAGTCTGACACGGGCTAGCTACAGTAGTAGATAGCACGCGAGAGTCGATAAACGCCATTCGTTGTGACTTCTTGCGCCTTCAAGATAGACAGAGCAAGCGGACCCGGTCTGAGGTAAGCCTGTGCTAAATATAAGCGCATGCGCATTATCCGCCCAGCGATAAAATGGCGACATACCGGCATTAGCCATACAATACTGGAAGCGCTCTAGCTCTGCAAACGCAGCAGCATTTTCAGAGAAAACCCACTATTTCTGACCTTCGTCGCCGTTGCGGTAGATGGTATCGTTGTTCGGACGACGAACAGACATTGCGAGAGGTGAGAGTAGAGTAACAGACGGACAAACACACAGACAAACCCAAAACAGTCACCCTCGCTGCACGCATGCGCGCGCGGTGAAACCACAGTAACCCTCGCTGCGCATGCGCGGCCCGAGGGTCATACTGCTACCCTCGCTGCGCATGCGCGCCGAGGGTAATAAATCGTGACAGTATATAAATGTACGTGTGCATGTGTGCAAAAACTCCCGATCACCTATATGGAGCCGGGCCAAGTTACGCAATACACGACCTTTGCACTTGTGCGTTATTTAGAGTAGATCCTTCGCGGAGCGCGGTGCGTTTCGTGGTTGCAGCGTCGTGCCCTGGTGGACGGTGGTGGGGTCTCTGGCTGCCAGGTCGACGAAGCTGTGGTTGAAGGGGGGGGTCAGCTGCCCCCATGACTGGATCCGTCCCTGGCAGTAGTGGCAGAGCGGTCACAGGCTTCCATCGGCGCCCCTTAGGGGCATGGTCGAGCATTTATAGGCAGTGAGATACAGACAATAAGGTGTGAATGAATCAATAGGTTAGTGTGGTGAATGCTGTGGTGTAGCAATACAATACAATGACAGCGAGACTTGAAGGTAGGTGCCAGCTGTTACAGCTGGAATGCTGGACTAAAGGTGTTGAAATGCAATAACTAACCGCACAGGTGGCGCCTCATGTCCTGCAAGGTGCGGAACGTGGCGATCAACAAGCCAGTTGGTTTGCAGTCACTCAAGCCTCTACAGCGCCGTGTAGTAAGCTCGTATGTGACTGGAAAATGACGTTTTCCAACTTCCTTCGTTGCATAATGTCAAACAGTGCACTGTAAGATAGCCATTGCAGGGGTCTACGAGCTTTTTAGTCAAGCACGCTTGCTCCGCTGGCTCTGCAAGTACCGTCCATTCGTCAGAGTCCACGTGTGTGCGCGCACGCGCGTATAGATTTCATTACAGCATTAATTGTTTTTCAACCTCCTTTTGTGGTTAGGTTTTTGTGCGTTTGTTGGAACTGATCCTTTTACTCTCTATGATGGTATTCGACAGGGAAGTAACAATTCTGTATATATAATTATTTTTCTTCTCTGGATAACATTTTGCAGCTCCATCCGGCATTCACGCTGTAACTCCCTAATGCAGCAACATAGGTTTCGACCTATACTCGACGCTGAATACCTGATATTGTAGTTGTGGTTTCATGGCTCGTGAAATGAGAAGTTTGGCAACCGTAACCCTCGCTGTGCATGCGCGCCAAGGGTTAATAATTATTAATTAATTTTGTCATCCAGTTGCTCGAGAATTGTTTCTCTAAATCACTGACCTACCACGTTTTTACCGCTACAAGTAAGCCATTCTATATTTTTCTACCATGATTTTATTGCTACAAGTGAGTCATTCTACCTTGTTTTTACCACTCCAGTAAGTAAGCTAGATTCTATTTTTCTATCTTTCTACCATGCTACCAATTTCATTTTTCTACCATCTATATTATTATATATGTATCATACTCTACATGTGTTGTCGCGACTGTGCTATCGTTACTCCCTGTGTGGCTGTCATTGTTTGTGATGTGGAGTTGGAATACTGGGTGTGTGGGGAGAGTTGGCTAGCCATAAAAGACTCTTTAACCCATCGCTCCAGTTCTCAAGGCTGGGCACCCAGTGTCCTGCTCTCATGTCATGTCATGTGTATTAAGTATGTTGGTTTATGGGTGTTTTGGGATTTGTATATATATTGGTGGTGGTTTTTATTTACTTATTTCTCTATCTATCTATCCTATGGCTGGTGTGCTATGAACTATAATTTCATGAAAGTGCTGAATTTTTTTAAAAGAAAAATTACTTTTACTTTAGTCACTGTTTGCTAGCTACTCCACAAAACGTTTCTTTACACTGTGATGAGGGAGTCGCAGATCTATCTGCCACTCCGTAAAAGGTT